TTGTAGCCCGCACGAAGCGCTGCCTGCCCGCGCGCCGCCCTCTGCAGCCAGCACATCGCCCTTCCTGGCCGTGCGCCGCCCCTGCCTGCCCGCGCGTAGCCCCTTAGTGTCGGAGCACTACCCTTTGCAGCCCGCGCGCCGCCCCACTCTGGCTGCAAGCTGCCGTTCCCTTACAATGCACCGCCCCGCACTACCATACGCACTACCCTAGTGCCTGCTAGCCGCCCTGCCTTCATTTTGTGCTGCCCTGCTGGTCGCATGCCTCCTTGCTTTGCCCACTTTCACTTCTGTTCGTAGTAGTGGTGGGAGTGGTGGCGGCGGTGGTGGCAGCAGTGGGAGTGGTGGAGGCGGTCGAAGTGGCAGACGCGGTGGAGCTGTTCAGTGGGGAGTTTCTGGCAGTGGCCAGATGCAGCTGCAGTGGCGTCCGTGCGAGACCCTTACACCCCAGCAGCTTCATGAGTGGTATGCTAGTAGTTGTGGTGGCGGCGGCCGTAGTGGCAGTCGCGGTGGAGCTGTTCAGTGGAGAGTTTATGGTGGTGGCCAGATGCAGCTTCAGCGGCATCTGCGCGAGACCCTTACGCCCCAGCAGCTTCGTGAGTGGTACGCTCAGAGTGGGGGGTCTAGGAGTACTGCTCGCTGCCCGTACGTCATTCGCACAGGTGATCGAGCTGGTCAGACTTGCGGGACAGTTGGTCACACACAGGCTCGCTGCTTCGCCTGTTTGAGTGACGCCTGGCATACGGTGGAACAAGGTGACACTATCCTTTGCTCTAGACTATGACACTATCCTTACTGCCATGTATGCTTTGACTGTTGGTACTGAGGGTGACTGCTAGCTGTGTGTGCCGCCCGACCCAGGTATAGAGGCTGCTGCCCTAGGTGCTAGTGAGTCTGCTCCGCGTGCTAGTGAGTCTGCTCTCTCTGGTACTACGCCTGCTGAGGCCTTGCACACCTTCACGCTTGAATCACTGATAAGCCTTCACCTCCCCTCGTTCTCTACGAACTTGGTGAGTAACGCCGTCCTCCTGGATGCTTGGGTTGATACCTTTACCCCTGGAGGACAGCGTGTGGCGATCTGCACGTGTGTACGGATGGGCCGTCACCTGGCCACGTTCACCCGTCAGCCTGGGTCGAGCCTGTACACACTGACTACTGAGCCAGGTAGCTGCGTCTGGTCAGGTCACCACGTCAGGTCAGGTAGCAGCCCCCTGCTCGTGTCCCAACCTCTCGCACCAGACTCTCCTCTGGCACCACCATCTTGGTCACCCCTCCTTGCCACGCCTCTATAGCATGCACTCCCGCTTCCTTGTCTCTGGCCTTCCCAGGTCTCTGCCCCCCCTCCCACACTCGCCTGCCCTGCCCTGCCTTCCCTGCATCGAGGGGCGGCAGCGCGCTGCTCCTCACTCCTCCTCGTTTCCCCCGACAGAGGCTCCCCTGCAGACTCTCCACATGGACGTGTGGGGCCCAGCCCGCGTCCAAGGACAGGGCCGCGAGCATATTTTCTGCTGGTTGTTGACGACTACGCACATTACACCATGGTCTTCCCCTTGCGCAGCTAGAGGGAGGTCCCTGATGTTTTGATCCCTTGGATCCGCGCTGTCCGTCTCCAGCTCCGCGAGCGGTTCCGCACGGACCTTCCTGTCCTGCGTCTGCACTCTGACAGAGGTGGTGGGTTCTCCTCCGACCTCTTGCGGGACTTAGGTGAGGGGAGGGCATCGAGCAGTCGTTCACGCTTCCGGCCTCCCCGCAGCAGAATGGGGTTGCTGAGCGCCGCATTTGCTGGCTCGTACCTCCATGATCCATGCGGCTGCTCCCCATTTTCTGTGGCCGTTTGCGGTCTGGTACGCTGCGCATCAGCTCAACCTCTAGCCCCGTGTCTCCTTGCCGGAGACCTCGCCTACACTGCGTTGGACGGGGGAGGTTGGCGATGCGTCGTTGTTCCGGGTCTGGGGCGCTCGTGCTTTTGTTCCCGATACCTCCGCGGACAAGCTCTCCTCCCGCGCCATTCCCTGTGTCTTCCTTGGCTTCCCCCCACGACGTGCCTGGTTGGCAGTTTCATCACCCCACCTCGTGTCGTGTCCTGTCCCGTCTCTTCCCCTACCGCACTGCCCCTCTCCCCCCCCCCCCCCCCCCGCCGCTCTTCCTTGCTCCAGGTCCCCCTCCGGTAGACCCCCTCCCCCCTCAGGGTCCTGCTCCTTCAGGTGTGTCTCAAGTAGACCCACTCCCCTTGGTTGAGCCTGTCGAGGTCACTGGTGACTCTGGTGCTGCTCGGGGTGCTGCGTCTGGGGGTGCTGAGCCTGCGGGTGTGGAGCCTGAGCGTGCGGAGCCTGGGGGTGCTGAGCCTGCGCTTGCGCAGCCCGGGGGTGCTGAGCCTGAGCGTGCGGAGCCTGGGGGTGCT